TTTCTTTCCCCCCACACTCTTAATCTGTGTATTTTTTATCTCAATCTGTCAGGGGCTAATTTCTTCTCACCACAACAGGAAGACCTATTTATCTCAACAGAAAGTTTCATCTTAATGGGATGATTTGACTGGCGTTTCAAAGTTACCCAGAGTCCTTTGCTTTGAATAGGGCTCACTCATGGGTTCCAGCTGGTTGTGTTACTTTGGACCACTTCTTTAACCTCCCTGTCCCTCAGTTTCTGCATCTGTGAAAAGGGAAAAAATACTAGTACCTATGTGTGCTGCTCTGGTAGCAAAGTGGTTATACTATGCTGTCTCCCATGGAAGAAAGCCAGGCTGCTAACCTCAGGGTCAGCAGTTCAAAACTACCAGCCATTCTGGGGCAGAAAGATGAGGCTTTCTGCTCCCATAAAGATTTACAGCCTCGATAAACCCTATGCAGGGTTGCTGTGAGTCAGAACCAACTCCACGGAACACCACCACCACCATATGGTGCTGTAGGATCATGTACTGGACTGCAAGGTCGGTTTGAGCTGCAAGGTGGCAGTTCAAACTCATCAGTTACTTCTTGGAAACCCTATACAGGGTCACTATGAGTCGGAACTAACTCGATGGCACTGAACAACATTTTATTAGGGATGTGATCACGTTTAAGCAAGCCAATCTTTGCAAAGTGTTTAACCCATTATCTGACATATAGAATCATCAGTGTTGAAGGTTTAACTCTATTAGTCAAAACCTGGGAAGGACCACCCTCCTTCCCTCTCCCACATTGGGCATTTGCTCTGTGCTCTGGGACTGTGGCCTAATCCTTATCTGGGGTCTTATGGAGGGAACTGTGTGGGGAGATTCAGGCCTTTTAATCTTGCCCACCCCCACAGTCTCTGCTGACCCAGAAGTGGTGGGGGGAGATGGACAGCACCACGCCCGTCTGGGCCCTGGTTCTCGCCTTCTTTTGCCCCCCACTCATCTACGCCAACCTCATCACCTTCAGGTCAGTCCCTTTGGGTTAGATTGTTCAGAGGGGGGTCACTTAGTTTCTCCTTCCTGGTCACTTCTGCCCACCTCTCCCACTTGATCTGTCCACTGCTCAGACTGGGGGGGGGCATGTTTTGGGTGGTGTCTCTACGTGCAAGTCCTCTGCCCCTCTGGCCCTATCTCTTGGTGAAGGTTCCTTTGGGGTGGCTCTAGAGGGGCATCTCTGCCTGTCTGACATGTATCTGGGTGAAGAAGCGTAGATGTCTCTGGAGAATTCATCTTCTCTCCTTCATTTCTCATCCTTTGCTTCCCTCCATGCTAGGAAATCCCAAGACGAATCTACGTGGAAGGACGTGGAGTTTGACACAGATAAGGGCGTTAACGGGGAAGGGCCTGTTGGGTGAGTAGGAGCTAGGGCCAGTGAGAACCCCAGCTCTGTGTGAAATCGGGCCACCCTGGGCAGCTTTTGGAGATAGAATGAGGTCAGAGTTGTGAACTGGGCTTTGAGAGAGAGCAGCTTCATTAAGCCACTAAAGATACTGCATCAGAGGCCAGCAAAGGGACTAGGGTTCGTTATAGGGGTCAGAGGTCAGCAAGGTAAAGGAGGTCAGATGTGATAGGTCAGCTGTCTTGGTGGGAGAATTTAGAGGTCTGGGCTGTATACTGTTATTAGTTATCTTTGAATTCAAGGTTGAGCTCTTTCATAAGCAGATTGACAGGCTTGTCTTCCAAGGAGCCTTTGGGTGGGTTCAAACTGCCAACCTTTTGGCTAATAGTAGAGAGCTTAACTGTGTGCGCCACCTAGGGGGTCAAAAGTCAATGAGGAAGGGCAGCTGTTCAAAGCCCACCAACTGCTTCTCAGAAACTTATGACTTGGTGTCATAGGTCAGACAGGTCAGAGTCATAGGTCAGACAGAGTCAGAGACTGTGAAGGTAGAGGAGGTCAGGGTAGAGGTCTTGATCACTTGCAGGTCAGAGTTCACAGGTCAGAGAAGACTTTCCTTCTCTCCCTCTGCCCTCCAGGCCTGCAGACCCTGGAGAGAAGATGCCACTGGGGATGTCTGGACAGCCCAGACACAGTGGCTGCTGTGGGAGGCAAGGCTGGCGTCTGTGCTTACAACGCTGGTCCCACTTCTGGGGGGCACCTGTGACGGCCTTCATGGGCAACGTGGTCAGTTATCTGCTCTTCCTGCTGCTCTTTGCCCGTGTGCTCCTCATCGACTTCCATCCCACGTCCACCAGCTCCCTGGAGTTAGTGCTCTACTTCTGGGCCTTTACCCTTCTCTGTGAGGAGTTCCGGCAGGGCCTGGGTGGGGGCTGGGGCAGCCTAGCCACCGGGGCGCACCCCCATGGCCAGACTCCGCTGCGCCGCAGACTGCGTCTCTACCTCGCTGACACCTGGAACCAATGCGACCTGGTGGCCCTCACCTGCTTCCTCCTCGGAGTGGGCTGTCGGTAAGTGTCGCCTTGCTTGACCTTTGAACCCCTGACCCTATGGCAACCTCTGACTCTTTCTGCCCCTAGGTCTCAAGTCTTGGATTGTCTGGGAGTGGGTGGCATTTGAAACCAACTCTGCAACTCTGATTGTTCTTAAAAATCAAACATAAGATCCGAGAGTAAATAGACAAAGGCTCACAAAGCGGACTAAATGCTTTAGAGAAAGGAAGACCGCTTAAGGGAAACAACAACCAATATATCCAGACTACACTCCCAGCTAAGGTTACTCAAGGTATAAGTAGATTTGTGTTATCTTTCAGTAACCCAGAAATTAATTGGAACTTAATCCAACAGCATTTTA